CCACTAATAGGGTTCCCGTGGGCCCACACAGGAGCGAGGAGCTACAACAACTGTAAAAAAAGGAGCCATTCAGAGGCCGGTGAGTCATTGCAAGGGACTGGCACATGGCCCATCCCATGGAAAGTGTTTGTAGCACAGGCAGTGGGGGAGACTGGCCAACTGGGAGAACTCTGGGACACAGCAAGGACAGCCATCCACCCCCCAATCAGTGCAGGACCACTCAGAGGAGACTGGTCAGGAAAATCGAATTGCATGGGGTGCAGTTTGATGAAAAGACTCATGCCCAGATCAGAGTTTCTACACAACCGAAGTGCGCCAGGTCTCTGAAAAGCCAGAAGTACCTATAAGGTCAACCATTAAACCCTGTGCTGCACAAAAAGCCTTCCTTAGGGAAACAGCAGCTAAGCAGCAATTTAGTTCAATTACACAGCTGAAGTACTGGTGCCCACAGGAAGTTCCCCCATTTTAGGAGTAAGCAAAAGACAAAAAATTAGTTCTGCCCCAGGCACAACACCAGTGCCTCAGGGCCCACCAGGGGACCTGAGGCATGGATCTGGGGACAGGACCCCCCCCCTCAAGCAGGCACAATGCCAGTGCCTTGGGGCCTGACTGGGGTCCTGAGGCATCAAGCCAGGGACCGGACCCCCCCCCCAATCAGGCACACCGCCAGTGCCAAGGAGCATGCCAAAAACATCACCTCCAGGTGGGTGGCTCACCACAGCCACCACAGTAACCATGGCTGCCGCGAAAGTGTCTAGACGTCACAACTGCCATGCAGATGGTCTGCCAGCCACTGGAGTGCATCGACACAAGTAGAGTCACCATCAGAGACCAAAGTAAAGAAGAGGATGTCTCTCTGCACAAAGCCCACTCCAGAGTAACAGAAGAAGCATATGCTCTATGATAATATTGGGGGAACTGAACATACCTCTCAGCATTGGACAGATCATCTAGGCAACAAATCAACAGAGTAAACATTATTCTTTCAGAGGGAGAGAAGAAATGTAGCATTATCAGTGGAGGGAGGGGGGAGGGAGAGGGGGATTGGGAGAGATTGGACATGGGGCATAAAGAATAAGTACAATTTGTAACAATATATATACTAGTAACATTGATTTGATGAACATATGTCAACATTGAACTCCAAAAATATGTATAATCAATTATGATTCAATAAAAATTAAAAAATAAATTTATATTTAAATATGCAAAAAGTGCCCCCTTTCCCACCCTTTCTTAGGATGTAGTTCCCTAAATGAGAAAGAAAAAGGTACAGGCTACAGAAAACAGTGGATCCAATCTTAGAGATGGGGTAAAAGTTAAGTCCCAGAGTTAAGAGCAGACTGATCCAGATTGGAACAGGAGGATAAAGGGTCCCAGGAAGGAGGTCTAGGGTCTAGTGGAAAAGGATTCCATGCAAGTGTGCTTGAAAGGATAGAAAAACCTTAAGATATGATAAAGGAATATTACTCTTTTGTCAACATGGGGGGGCCAGTTGGAAACTCTAGGAAAATAAAAAAGCAATACAAAAAGGCATTGTCTAAATAAGATACAAAAACAAACAAACAAACAAAACAGAGCCCAACTTTAAGCACTTGGTGGAATGTAAGAAAAAGATTCCATTTAATTATTAGGTTAGAAAATTTCTCCCTTTGAACAAAAAGGGTTTGTGACATTGAACCTGTGCAATATGACTTATAATCCTAGCACACTACTTGACTCTGCAGTGAACAATATCTATGTAGCTATAACAACAAATATTATTAACTGGTTTTCAATTTAGAGACAATCTAAGGACAAAACACTCAAGATCTGGTTGCAGAACAGTGCGAGTTTTAAGTCTTGTTAATGTAGAAGTAAAACATGAGGTTGTTGAAAGGTATGAGGTGGAAGGTGCACCCAGAAGCTAAAGCGTTTCATGAGGTAATTTTTTGAAGTGGGAGAACACACCAGACAACCTCAGGAAGTATATCAATGCCAACACACAAAATCCCAGGTCTTTAGTATTTTCTTATAGCCTTCATCCGTGCTGGACAGAATAAGCCAGGCATCTTCCACTAATATAACACATACTAAATTCTGATATGCTTTTTTAAGTAAAGGTTTGACTTAAAAACTTTCCATTCCAGTCCACTCAGTGTAGTTCAGGGACTGGCAAACTTTTTCTGTAAACAACTAGACAATATCTTCAGTTTTGTGGGCCAGACAGCCTTTACGTAATTTTGTTGGCATCCCAGTTGGGCAGTTTCCTGCTTGCCAGCTTCAGTCCACCATACCTTTGCAAATTTTACCATCATTCACTGGGCTACAGCCACATCTCCTCCAACAACACTGAATCTTAGCTTGGATAGGGGCAGCCCTATTCCAAATCTGTTCCTTCACTTGGTGTTCTGCCTCCGCCCTAAAAGTAGTGACTACTCACTATATTTTCTATTTCTGTATTTTTTTTTAGAGATCTCTATACCTTAGTGGGTTTTTCTTTTTTTTTTTTTGGACCAGTAAATCTTAGCTTGGATAGGGGCAGCCCTATTCCAAATCTGTTCCTTCACTTGGTGTTCTGCCTCAGCCCTAAAGGTAGTGACTACTCACTATATTTTCTATTTCTGTATTTTTTTTTTAGAGATCTCTATACCTTAGTGGGTTTTTCTTTTTTTTTTTTTGGACCAGTAAGGGATGCAACCCTTAGCTCGGTGTTGTCCCAACCACGCTTAGCCAGTGAGCGCACTGGCCATCCCTATATAGGATCCAAACCCACGGCCTCGGCGCTATCAGCACTGCACTCTCCTGAGTGAGCCATGGGGCCGGCCCTATACCTTAGTGTTTTGCCCTTAGTAGTTAATAGTTAATTCCCTTTTTTTGTTGTTAATAATGTTTATCTAGGTTGTCTAGAACTAACAATATCATATTGTATATTTCTAAATAGCTAGAAAAGAGAATCTTGACCATAATCACCTCAAAGATAAATGTTCAGATGATAGATAATATACTATCTACTCCAAGTGAATCATTGTACAATATATGCATTTATTAAAAACAACACACTGTACCCCACAAATATGTACAATTAAATTTTGAAATAAAAAAAAAAGTTTTCCTGTTCAAATTACTGTGTGTAATCTCTCTCTCAAATGGGTCCTGACATATATTTCAATAATTACATTAAATATAAGTGTCTTAATACTAATTAAAAGGCAGAGATTGTCCTATTGGATTTTTTAAAAAGCAAGTCCCAACTATCTGCTGTCTACATGATACCTGCTTTAAATATAAAGACAGAGACAGGTAAAAAATGAAAGGACAAGCTCAGTTGCTTAGAGCTCCATGTTATAACACAAAGGTGAAGGGTTCGGAACCCCATACTGGCCAACCACCAAAAAAAAAAAAAAGTGAAAGGACAAAAAAAGATATACCATTCAAACACTTATAAAAAGAAAGTAGTAGTGGCTATATTACCAGGGATAGAGAGGGATGGACATTTTGAATGATATAGGGACCAATTCATCAAAGAGACATCATATTTACTGAGTGCTTATGTGCCAGGCACTGTGTGTTGTGTTCATTCTCACATTTGTCAAACCTTATAAGGTGGGTATTATTGGACATTTATCAAAACCTATAAGGCAGGTATTATTATCTCCATTTTACAAGAGGAAAATAGGCTGTTAAGTGCAGAATACAGACAAGAACTCAAAATTTGAGCTCTTAAAACTATGCTACATTGACTCTCCAAAACTGAACAATACTCACAATAAGTCCATTTTTGTAAATAAATGTAAACATTCATACATAAAACTGTATGAAAGATTTTATAAATCAAACTGTTAAGTTTTTTCCATGCTATTTTTTTACGATAAATATGTTAACAGTTGTGTAACAAAATTTTCTTCAATAAATCATTTTTTAAAGTTTCATTTAAAAAATTACATCTATGTGGCCCTTTAAAAAAAACACAGCCAGATTTTTATGTGAAAATATATTCTACTTAGAAACTTCATTCTAGTTCACAAGTAAATATTCTGATTTTCAACTCAAAAAAAAAAAAAAAAATTAAGCAACCTGTAGCACAGCCTTACATATACCCACGGCCAACGACTCCAACTATACATTTTTAAAGACTTCGTTTCTAGTTAGGAATCAATGTACACAATCAGTAAACTTGACCTTTACAGTTAAGGAAAACTATGTGCAATTATTTCCCATCCACTGAGTGGGCGACAACAGGGCTGCCCACCTCAGAGACGAAATTTATGTCTCTGTATCATTTAAGGCAACCGAGTGCAAATCAACTTCTGTTACTACCACTCAGAGAGGGCAAAGGCGTACCAGGAGAGGCCAGCCAGTAGGTCGTCTCTAAGGTTTAACCAGACGCCAAGCCAGAGCGCTTCTCAGTCTCATCTTGGGGCTATAACAACACCCTGACAGCGTCTGTGATTATAATGCACAACACCAGGCGTCTCCCAAGGCGCTCCCCATCCGCCCTGCATCGGGCCGGCTCCCACATTTACCCAGTCAAGGGCACGTCAGAGCTTCACCGGCTGGGGAGCGCCGCACCCCTCAAGCGCACGGGGCGCTTATCCCAAGGCCCAACAGGTGCGGGTGCCGGTCGGCGTGGGCGCGTACCCCCACGTACCTTCGAGGGGAGTTGAGGAGCCGCTGCTGCTCATCCCCTTCCTCCTCGTCCTCGTCCGTCTCGGAGTCGGGGCGACAGTAGCAGTAGGCCCCGCTGCTCCGCTTGCGCTTGCAGCTGTCCGGGCAGTAACAGAAGCCGTGTCCGGCCGCATTGCCGCCAGGCTCAGGCCTTTGCGCCGAGCCCACAGCCCCGGAACCCGGCTCCTGCTGAGCTCGGGCTCGCCCCAGCTGGCGCAGCACTCGGCTGCTCAGCGAGCCCATGGGCCACGGCTCCCCGGGACTTCAGGGAGCGCACTTCAGGGAGCCCAAAGGAGAGGATCTCCCTCCATGGTCCGGCCGCCGTCGGCCTCCTCCCAGCCCAGATGCCTACACGGCCACCTTCTCACGCGCAGCCCCAACCGTTTCAGCGGACGCTACCGCCTCCATCCTTCGCGCGGCTCTTCAAGACCGCAGAACCTCACTCCCTTTCGCAACAAAGCACGGGCCGGAGGGCGCATGCGCGCGGCGAGCCTCCGGAAGGGGCGGGGAAAGGCGGGCGTGCGCGGCGGGTGGAGCCTGCGCAGAACGTGGCGCGCGTGTGCGACCGGATCCTGGATCTCATACCAATCTGATTTGTGAGGCAGTCCTAGTTTTTAGCGGTGGCTTACGCACCCCTTGGTATTGGCAGGACTTGGCATTCCAGGTCATTCATTCTTGCTGCAAAGATTCTTGAGCTTCAGATGCTTTCTGGGCCCTGTGCTAGGTAAGGGTCAAAAACACGACGCTATTTGGGCTCATTCTTGAAGGAGCTCAATGCGTCTGAGGGTCCGCCCTGCGGCCTTGCGGCATGGCTTCCTCTGAGAGGAGGACCTAGAATGAGGAGCTATACGGAACGCCCGGGTTTCCTCAACATCAACCCTCCCCTGCTGCAGACGTGAAAGGAACCCACTGGGTTATTGCGAACGTTCCCTGCACTCCTTTTCTCCCAGGGACAATAGGACGTCTGAGTAAGGTAGGGTCAAGGCTTAAAGTGCCTTCAGGAGGCCTTAGCAAAATTTACAGATGTCTGCCTGGAGTAGCAGCCCTTGTTATGAGCTCCGGACAGCCAGCTTTCACTCCCTGGCTCTCTTCTGCTATTTTTTAAGGAAAATATTTATAATGCAATATTTCAAATAGTGTACTATAAACACCTGTGGACCCACCACTAGCTTGAAATTTTATCATACTTGGTTAGACTTATTCCCCCCGCCCCAGCTTATTGAAAAAAAAAAATATTGTAGTTGATGATTCATTCTGTTTAAATAGAACAGTACAGACACGCAGAAGCCACCTGTACTCTATTTCATTGTATTTCTCTCTCCAGTGGTGATCACTATACTAAGAATGTTGTGCATCATTATTCCCATGTATGTCCTTATACGCACACCGTAAAATGTTTTGCACATTTAGACATATGATTAAATGGAATCATACCATACCTATCATTCTATGCCTTTCCCCTCTCTCAAAATTATGAGATTTATCCAATTAATCTGTAGTTAATTTTCACTGCTGAAAACTGGTTGACCTATAATTTGTTTATCCATTCCCTTAGTGAGGGAATAAGGTTATTCCCACTTCAGTGCTCTTACAGAGCAATAATGAACATCATGAGCAAGAGTTTCACCAAGCAAATCCTCAGAAGTGGATTTGCTGGGAAGTTTTCAACTTTATTAGCTATTGCTAAATTGCTGTGTGAATTCATTGCATCAATGCACCAATTTTTCCTCCCATCTGCAGTATATGCAGTTTGAGGGCCCTAGTGGACTGGTGTCTGATTCATGACTGAGAAATCTGAACTGAGAGAAGCTAGTTGAGGCAGCTTGGGGTGGAGGTGGGAAGCAGAGAATGATGGCTGCAAGGGGATCAGCTTGCATGCACAGAATTTGTCAGCACAAAGGATGTGCAGGTATTTCCCACGGAGCAGATGTGCACAACCATCAGATAACCAGCATGGCATCATTTTAGATCCTGTCCCAGTGGCTTGAGTGGAAGGGCAAATAGAAGTCAGCACAGAGAACCTAAAGGTAACACCAAATTCCTAGAGGTCGAAAAAGGAAAACCATATTTGCCTTTCTTAAGAACTCACAGGTGTTGGGGCCGGCCCGGTGGCGCACTGCTACAGTGCGCCGCTTGGGAGCGTGGCGGCGCTCCCGCCAAGGGTTCGGATCCCACATACAGACCGGCAGCTCAAGCGTGGTGCGGGCGCAACACCGAGGGTTGCGATCCGTTGCCGGTCACGAAAAAAGACAAAAAGGAAAAAAAAAAAAAAAGAACTCACAGGTGAGTTCTCTGGTGTTGCAGTTAACAAAGGAACCCACAAGAATCAGCTTTACACCACTGCCAAGGTTACACAGGGCTTATCCTCTACCACCACAGCAATAAGTCATATAAGAACTTCCCTGTCCCCCTTTGTATTCTTCTCCCTGCTGCTACAACACAGGCAAGTTAGGGTGGTGATGGGAGAGTATGGAAGGAAGCCTCGGTGGAGAAAGAAGAGAAGCCCATCATCCCTTCTTCCCCAAAAGCCAGCTTCCTTCCTACTGGCAATAGGCCAGAGCTGAATGAGAAAAGAAGCCTCAACTGTAAATCAGTTTTGGAATTCTGACTGGATATATTAATTACTGGAATGACATTGGTTTATGACCTTATGGAACTACACAATAGGACTTCTTAAAACCTGATAGTGAGCAGCAAAGTCATGACTCTATCCTCAATCTGAATTTACCTCTAAAGACAGGAGAAGAATTAGGCTTACTTGAATAAATGTAAATAGACACTGGGAAGGAAAAACAAAGTTGCTTCATAGTTATATCTCAAAGTCCTGCTTGCTCAATATAACAAACAAACTTTTGGGTGGCTTTATCTTGCCTTCTAGAAAGCTTCTGCTCAATAACTGCAATTTGTTTTAAAACTTGGGCTGAGCTATATATTGCCTAAAGATAAAACTTCTAACAAAAAATTCACAGTGCTTCCAAAGCCAAATAAAAGTTGATTTGGAGATTCCGTGGTCTTCTGGGTAAGTACTGAAGTGGCAGTATTATTTCCTATAATTAACTGGAATGAGAAAGTATCACCTAAGTAGCTTTCAGCAATAGCTCTAGCATGTATAATAAACAAGTAACACTAAACTGAAAAACAAATCCTTATTATTTCACCCACCAAAATACAAGAGATATAGAATGAACATAGAAGGCAAGTATTCTTATTATAATAAGAATATAATGTTCTTTATACATTTATAACATTTAATATAAAGCTCTACTTAGTAGAACAGAGAGCATCACTAATTCCAGAGAGTAGGTTCATACATTACTTTATCTCATTGAGTAGTGTTTGGCATATGTGAACATTAGTTTTATAGCAGTAGGCAAAAACATAAGACTAAATTTGTTATTTTTTTTAATGTTGTAATTCCTACTAGAAACTGAGTTAACACAAATCCTTCAAAAATAACTCCTTTCAGGATCCAGGATGAAAAAACTCAGAAGTGGAAAAAGTCAATCAGAGAAAGAATATACTTCATTTTAAAGATAACATTTTTTATTAAAATTATTTTTCCATGTTGTATACAAAACTTTCTAATTAAATCCAAGTACACCTTCAGAATGATTATAAAGTTGAAAGGCACATTGCAAACATAAATTACTGCAAATCACAAAACCAAAAAAGATTTAAAAAATTATTTTTAGCACAAAAGTTTTCTTGAAGCCAAACTAAATTCAGAGCATTATTACACCATTACCAGAATACCTAGTTCAAAGCTTAATTTTTTTTCCATTTACTTTCAAGCTGGATTAAGACATTAACCATAATATTGTGGAATGTTCAGCATTTATGTTTGGTAACTAGATGAATATGATCTATATAACCAGACTTAGAATTTAGTTTGTCTGAATAAATTAATAGTTTTGGTATACTTCAACCAGGAGAAAGTGATCTCAACGTAGACGTGATGAAGTCTCCCATGCCAAACTTAATAGAGATCAACTAATGCTATAGATAAATCCTAAAAAAAGAGATTTGTGGATGCTTTCAATCTATGACTACGTGAAACAGAAAACTGGATGGATATTCTTAGTAACTGGATGCTCACACTTTCAAATGAAGAAATTACTAGCCACTCTATTTTTAAAAATAAGATTAGGGAATAAAGTGATTTTGGAACAGTCTTCCAGTCTTGCATTTAAAAAGTTTTTCACTGAGATGGATATTCTTAGTAACTGGATGCTCACACTTTCAAATGAAGAAATTACTAGCCACTCTAAAAATAAGATTAGGGAATAAAGTGATTTTGGAACAGTCTTCCAGTCTTGCATTTAAAAAGTTTTTCACTGGAAAGAAAATATGAAATAATGTAATATATTCAATTTCTGTGAAACACAAATGAGGAAGTAATCTGTTAAAAACATGGAGCACGTTTTTATTTCTAATTTTAAATCTCCATTTAGGTTTTATAAATTTTGAAATGCAAGTACAACTTTAAAGCATCATAATAACTAATTATACATGAATAATAATACAGACTGTCTATATCCTAGGAGGCAACTGTAGGCGTTTTAATTGGAAATAAGCATTCTGAGATAATTCTAATAGAGTGGGGAAAAATGAAGTTAAAAACAAATTCAAAGTATTGAGAATCCTCCCGTCCTTCTGGGATTTTAGTTTAGTCATCTCCTCCACAGAGAACGAGCAGCACCTTCCTGTAGTCTCCGGATGTGTCGCCCTGGGGAGAAGTGAAGCAAAGTTACACGAGCAGCACCTTCCTGTAGTCTCCGGATGTGTCGCCCTGGGGAGAAGTGAAGCAAGTCAGATAAGTGGGTTTTAAAATGGAATACACAGTTCAGTCATCTAAGTTGACTTTTTCAAGTTGTCTAGATTTTTCTCGGCTCTTAAAACATTTTTTTTTTGTCATTTTTTATTACAAAAGTAATACTTGTCTAGTGTAGAAAACAGATAAAAGAATGTAAAAATCACTCATAATTCTACCATCTAGAAATTACTATTCTTAACATTTTGGTGTGGGCATATCCTTCCAGTCTTTTTTTTTTTTATGCATGTAGATACCGACGAATGTTATGGGACTGCAGTATTCTATGTTCTGCTTTTTTTTTGTCTTCTTTTTTTTTTTTTCGTGTCCGGCAACGGATCGCAACCCTCAGTGTCGCGCCCGTACCGGACCGGGACCGGGACCGGCAATGGGATCGCAACCCTCGGTGTCGCGCCCGCACCTCGCTCAGCCAGTGAGCGGGAACCGGTCTGTATGTGGGATCTGAACCCTTGGCGGGAGCACCGCTGCGCTCCCAAGCAGCACACTGTAGCAGTGCGCCACCGGGCCGGCCCCTGTGTTCTGCTTTTTCACTTAACAATATAACCTGAATATTTCCCTATTTTATTAAATATTCATTTACAACATTATTTAATGGTTACAGACTATTCCACTGTACATAGGTAAAATAATATATTTGATCACACCCTCCCCCTCCCCATTGTTGGATATTTATGTTGTTTCCAATTTTTCTGTATTATAAATACTTCTGCAATAAGCATACTGCAGTTAAATTATTGTGCATTTTCTGAATGGCTTATCCTGGATACATTTTCATAAAATGGGAATTACTGGATTAATGACCATGTGTTTTCTTTTTTCTTTTTTTTTTTTTTTTGTCTTTTGTCTTTTTCCGTGTCCGGCAACGGATCGCAACCCCCAGTGTCGCCCCCGCACCGGACCGGGGACCGGCAACGGGATCGCAACCCTCGGCGTCGCCCCCGCGCCTCGCTCAGCCAGTGAGCGGGAACCGGTCTGTATGTGGGATCCGAACCCTCGGGCGGGAGCACCGCCGCGCTTCCCAAGCGGCGCACTTACCCAGTGCGCCACCGGGCCGGCCCTGACCATGTGTTTTCTTAAGCCTTTTGATATGGGTTGCAAAATAGTCATCCAGAAACATTCTATAATATCTACACAGAAATTTTTATGGTCTAATAATAGATCAAAATTTTTCTTAGTTCTTCATGAGCATTAGACAAGATAGAATATCTGTCTATAGGGTTCAAATTTTAAGAAACATCTGTTAAAATCAATCTTAATCTTAAAATCAAACCTTGTTTATTCTTTGCCTCACTGACCTGCCAAAGAATAAGGATGTGTTAAAGTCTCTCACTAGTATAGTATTTCCCTCCATGTCCTCTTCTGAAGCCTCAAATTTCTTATTTATATATTTGAATGCAATATGGTTTAGCACCTAAAGTTTCATGACAATTTACTCGTCATGAACTGTTGCCTTTGTCAATATAAAGTGATCCACTTTCTCCTATTTAATGTTTTTTCTCCTTATATTCTTCTTTTTACTGATAGTATAATACCTGCTTTCTTTTTTGCATCTGTCGAATGTTCTTTCCCTGGCCTTTTTCTTTAAGCTTTTTACATGTTATTGTATTTTAATTGTTCCTTATAAACAGCATGAAGTTAGATTTTATATTTTTACCAAGCTTGAGAGTTTTTTTATTATTATAACTTATTTTTTATAATATAAAATAATGCAAATACTATAAATAATGCTACTATGAAAATATAATATTTAGTGCACTTTTGCACATTTCATTAAACAATTTTATTCAAATTCTTTCATGACAAAAAAAAAAAAAACCCCAAATTCTTTCATGACTTTTCTCACTCTGGTAAAAAATATATATAAAATATAAAAATTGTCATTTAATCATTTTTAAGCACATAATTCAATGGCATTAATTACATTCGCATTGTTGTGCAGCCATAGTCACTATTTATTTCCAAAACTCTTTCATCATTCCAAACAGAAACTCTGTACTCACTAAGCAATAAATTCCTGTTCCTACCTGCCCCCTCCCAGCCCCTGGTAAGCCGTAATCTACTTTCTGTCTCTATGAATTTACCTATTCTACATATTTCATGTAAGTGGAACCATATAATATTTGTCCTTTTGTGTCCGGTTTATTTCACTTAGTATGTTCTCAGGTTTCATCTGTGTATCCAAAATGTCAATCCTTTTTATGTATTTATATATACCACATTTTGATTCATCAGTTGGTGGATACTTGGGTTGTTTCCACTTTTTGCCTATTGTGAATAATGTTTACAATGGTGTACAAGAATCTATTTGAGTCCTTATTTTCATTTCTTTTGAGTACATACCTGGAATTGGAATTGCTAGGTCATATGGTAAATCTATGTTAAACTTTTTGAGGTAGCGCCAAACTGTTTTCCACAGTGGCTGCATCATTTACATTCCCACCACTGATGCATGAGGCTTACAATTTCTCCACATCCTCACCAACATTTGTTATTTCCTGGGTAGGGGGTGGTGGTGATGACTTTCATTTGTTTTTTGGTTGTTGTTTTTTCTTTTTAAATTATAGCCATCCTAGTAGGTGTGAAATGGTATATCATTCTGGTTTTGATTTGCATTTCCCTAATGATTAATGATGCTGTGCATCTTTTCATGTGCTTATTGGCCATTTGTATATCTTCTTTGGAGAAATATATTCAAGTCCTTTGCCTATTTTTTAATTGAGATGTCTTTTTGTTGTTGAGTTTTATATCTTCTGGATTGTAAGCTCTTAACAGGATAAAAGTTATACCAGTTTATAGTCTCTCCATAATATAAGACAGTGAGTTTTCTCCAAGCCCTTTCCAGTGCTGGTTATGATCTCTTTAAACTCTGTTAAGGTTTTAGGTGCAAAATGATTTGTTTTTATTTGCAATTCACTGACTATTAGTGAGATTAAACATTTTCTCTATATAGTATTTATATACAGTATACTACTATATATCTCTCTATATAGTATATTACTATATATCTCTCTATATAGTATTTATATATATACTATATTTCTATATATAGTATTAATTATAGTGTTTATTTCATCTTTCATGAAATGAATGTTTTTTTTTTTTGTTTGTTTGTTTGTTTTGTTTGTTTTTAAAGATGACCGGTAAGGGGATCTTAACCCTTGACTTGGTGTTGTCAGCACCACGCTCACCCAGTGAGCTAACCGGCCATCCCTATATGGGATCCGAACCCGTGGCCTTGGTGTTATTAGCACCACGCTCTACCGAGTGAGCCACGGGCCGGCCCATGAAATGAATGTTTAATATCCTTTTGTCCAGTTTTCTTTTTGGGTGTTTCTCTTTTTTTCTTAGTGATTTGTAGAAGCTCTTAATATAGGGATATTAACCCTAAATTAATATGTTACAAATACAGTATATTTTCCCATAACTTCATTTATGATCATCCTCAAATCTTGAAAATATTTCACTTACAGCTAGCTTATTTCATCTGTACAAAACAGTGTTACCTCATAGCCTGTACAGAAATAGAAACAAGGTCCAATGCCTTGCAGACATAGTAACAAAATCTGCAGCTCAAATCACCTAATAGTTACACCTAGGCTTCAGAATATTTAATTCACAGATCAAATCCTGATATGAAGTTTGTTGTGTAGGTAACCACAGCTTCTAGGGGAACTGGTCTCAGCTTCATGTTTGTGAGATTCTTTTGGCTTCCTTAAGAGGCAAAATCCCAATCATGAGGGTTTTGAGGGATATGAATCATTTCTTATCACTCCCATGCCATCTTAGGACTGCTAGGAGTCTGGCGCCAGGGAAAGAACAGCAATCCGGAATAATAAAAATGCTTTCCCATATTTCCAGCAGACCTCTCAGCTGGCCCTGCATAGGATTCTGGATTTGGTTATTTATCTTTTACCATAATTAGGTAGACATGGAAATTGTGCTCTTAAAAGTATTCATTAAAGTGTAATCCCTGTCTAGGATCAAAATGAAATAATTACTGTATTTAAAAGGCAAGTATTTCCAGCTTCTAACCTGGTAAAGGTTGAAATGTATGTGTGAAAGGAGAAAGACTGGAAGTTTCTGCGGTAGAGTACCATCATTAAAGGGAATGATGTACGCCAGGAAGGAGGCGACAAGAAGTACTAAATGCCAGGTCAGAGCCCCATCCATTCATTAGTGCCTTCCCCTGGGCCAAGGCTGCTGTGACCTACCTTGATGAAAGAGTACAGAGACTTTCCATAGAGCCTCTTAAAGTTTGCCCGGATGTCTAGCATGTCAATCTCTGCTCGAGAAACCATCACTCTGATGAGGGTGTTATCATCTGTGCCCAAGCCCTAAGGAAGAAAACAAGATTCCTGCATATGAAAGCCTCACTGCTTTTCAGATAGTCCTCTTCTTCAGCCAATCAAGGCAAGACTAGGCTGACTTTCCTGATGATGTCCTTTGCTCCACAACCCTAGAGGCCTGAGGAATAGCCTCACTCCTTACCATGGTATTCAAGGCTCTCCACAACTTACTTTCTAGCACTTCATGTTCTTTTTTGTTTGTTTGTTTTGTTTTGTTTTTGACCAGTAAGGGGATCACAACCCTCGGCAAGGTGTTGTCTGCACCACGCTCAGCCAGTGAGTGCACTGCTCAGCCAGTGAGTGCACCGGCCATCCCTATATAGGATCTGAACCTGAAGCCTCGGTGCTACCAGCGCCGCACTCTCCAGAGTGAGCCACAGGGCCGGACCCTAGCACTCTGTTCTGACCAGAGGACACCTCCCTCTGCCTTTCTACAGACATTACCTGTGCTGTCCAGCCTACTTGCCTCACCCACAATTCCTCCCCCTGGAATGTCATCCTCTCCTTCCCAGCCTTTTCATCCCTCCCTCTCACCATGTAAAATCCTCCAATGTAAAACTTTCTTGAAGGTCCTGCTCAAATATACCAACTACTTTATATATTGTTTTTGGATCCACCTCCCAAAAAACAAATATTGGAAAAAAAAAAAAAACGCTTTCCTCTGTGTTGGGTCCTCAACTACTGTCTTACATTCTATCTTGTTATTACTGGTGTTTTGCACATACCTGCCTTCCCCACAAGGCTAAACGTTCTTTGAAAGCAAGGACTGCATTTTGATCTTTCCTGCACCTCTCATGGTTCTCAGCACAGGTGCTTGCATAGAAGACCATGCAGGGTTAGAAGTATGGGTTCTGGAGCTAGACCATAGTGTTTAGATCCTTGCTCCATTACTGAGGACCCTGCGTAAACTGCATATCCTCTCTGTGCCTTACTTTCCTCATCTGTAAAATGGGTTAATAATAGTACCTGCCCCATAGAGTGGTTGTGGGGATATAATTAATCTATACCTATAAAGCATTTAAGAACGGCGATCCACACATCATAAGCATTCAGTAAATATCACCGAGTATTATTACTAGCAGGCACTCAGCTGAGTGCTTCATCATCCAATTTGGTGAATTGATTTGGATATTTCAGCCTGAAATTTGGGTGGGGGATATAAGTAAGACTAAGAAGATGGACGTGAGGTATGCCAAAGTCATTCAAATGCTAAAAAGGAGGCTGTTTACCTTCATAGATTTATAAAGCCTTTCAGCAAAATATGCAGGTTTGTTCCTCATGCACTTTACTGTCAAGAGAAAAAAAAAAAGAAAAGATTACAGATAAGACCTATGAGGAAAGAAAAGTGACAGTTGTCCCCTCTGTTTCTGCAAGGTATCAAGTCATAGCTTTTGATTGCTTTGCCATATAAATTTTAGCCAAACAATGTTTCATGAACACGGGCTGTGCTCTGGGCATTTTCACAGAAAAGTACCCTCAATCTATCAAGTTCCTGAAGAAGTAATTAATAATGGCCATCAAAGCAAAGCAGCATATAGTTTCAAAATGACGATTACTCTCTCTACCATATGAGACAGTTACTAGTTCTAACCATTCACAGAATTGCAAGATGCAGCTAGTATAGTATTATCTTTTCCCATATAATGAGATATGAAGGCACAGAAGATATAAAATATATAAACCATGTGGCAAAATAGAAATCAGGTTGTACATTTCTTGTTTAAAATTCTGGAACACACTATGAGTGATTTAAACAACTTTTGTTTCTGGAAAAAAAAAAATTCTATAGCCCCATGAACAAGGACAAAAGTTTACAGACATTTGTTTCCCCACTCCCCACCCGCTCCCAGCTTACCTATAGCCAGCAGAGCATCTTCAAAGCTACCAGATGTTTCTGATTTAATACTCTGTTCAATGTCCTTCTGTGATATCCTTTTGTATTCATCAAACACTGCAAATAATAACAAAATGGCACCATCAATAACAAAGAATAGAGGACACTAAAATTTATGGAGAGATTGAGCATCTTTTAACTAGTCTACACTATTTATTCTTTGGCTTATCTCAAGAGGAAACTAATTAGCAATGTGGATGAGAACCCAGAAAGGATATAGTACCGTGGAATGAGCCCAAGTTGAGGAGGAAGGAATACTGTGATTCTTGGAGGACATCAGACAAGTCCTTTCCCTTATCCGGGATCCTGTTTCCTCACAAATAAAATGGAGATGCTCTCTGAAGACATTTGCTTTCTTTTTTCATAGTTTCCTTAATAAGCACAATGTGTCTTTTTGTAATTTTGACTTTGGCAATCACCTGTGTGTTCGTGTCTTTTTGGGTCATCAAAACTAGAGCAATTCAACCTCTTCAAAACTGAGTCACATTTGATAACAGCCGGTTGCATCTTTTAATAGACTTTAACATAATTAAATTTTTTTGCTTTTTTGCCAACTATTTTTGAATGTGATGGATATGTTTTCCTCTCTTGCTGTCTCCTTCTGGAGCCTTCTTAGGGCAGATATCTGCTTTATCTTTTTTTTTTTGGTGGCTGGCCAGTAAGGGATCCGAACCCCTGAACTTGGTGTTTATCAGCACCACATTCTAACCAAGTGAGCTAACCAGCCAGCCCGTTTATCTTCTTAGCATTGCCTTCTTTGGGGTACTGTCTCACCCTTCCCCATCAATCTGATTTTCACAGGGCTGTCAATCAAGGGACACCCATACCCAACACCATATATAACCAAACAACATATGAGGGTACTTCAAAAAGTTCATGGAAAGACTGTATTGTCTTTAATTCTATGTTTTCACAAATCTTTTGCAGTACCCTCTTACATAACCTCTATCAAATAAGTTCACCCAGTCAGTACCCATCAGACTTATCCTCCTGGGAATTTTTTTTCCTTCTGGAAGTTTTTAATTGAGCAAACCATGGGGATGGCCAAAAGCACTGAGTCATCTTTACCCTCAAAAAACATAAGAATCACTTGGGAAACCTGTTAAACTTCCTGGGTGTCATTCCCAGAGATTCTAATTCAGCCAGTCTGAAGTAGGGATTTAGGAATCAGCATTTTTAATAGAGACTTCAGAAACTCTGCCTTAGAAATAAAATCCATGACTCCCTTCTACTGAGATCCCCAAAACTGCTTTGATTTCTGTTCTTCCTGAAGTTTAGCTCTCCTTCAATTCTGTGAGCCAGCAGTATTTTCCATTTCCTCTCTTCTTACTTAAGTTGGAGTCAGCGTATGTTTCTTGGAATCAAAGAATCTAATTGACACACTTTCTAAGCCTCAGTCTTCTCCACTGTAAAATAGGGAAAATGATGACTACTCCATTAGGATGCTGCGAAACAATGTTTATAATTTGCTTAGCACTGCCCTAGAAGATAGAAAATCACTAACGAAACCTTAGTTATTGTGAACCCTCACCATTATTGTTGGTTGGTAAGAAAATTATGAAGTTTTCTTCATCCAAATAGTGCTTAAAATATTTTCTCCCAGTGGCTTACAAGCAGATATTTTATAACTGCCCAATTATTGACTTGTGCCCAGGAGTGAAAATTTCAACAAACGTATTTCCGTACTTTTATGCACTAAATCGGCTTCTGAGGACCTGCAGTTCTCGGAAAATACCAGCAGGGGGAGATTTGTGTTATATACCGTATTTGTAATCGGGAAAGGGAAGTCAGTGAAATAAGGAGCTGAGTCAAAAGTTGGTGCATCTCATGGTAGCCCATGACACTTATTCACAGGAGTAATCACCTATTTTTTTGTCACTATGTAATATCTGAAATAATTACAATTTCAAAATGTGTTGTATTTTTCAATTACTTTGTTTATGTTTTCAGTTTAGCAAACTCATTCTCAAATTTCCCACAAGCTTTGTAAATTGTATATGTGATTATAAGGTCATGGTGGGTTTATAAAGTTATGATGTACATAAACACCTAAAAAGCTTATATTAAAGATGAAATATCTTGTTAAATCCTTATTGCTGTTAACAAGAATAATATAAACCTAAAAACAAATATTCTATAGTTGTGTATCTTTCCCCAAAAGAAGTTAAAAGCACATTAGAAAGGTTAGAATTATTAGAAACAAATTAGAAACATTACACATAGGAAATAAAATTTGAAATTATCCACTATTCATCTTATGCAACATAATCTCTAAAGAAATCACTTCTATTAGCTTTACAGCTTAGATGTTAAACAGGAATAAATATCAACCAACATTTCTATTTTATTGCTTGCTGATTATTGAAAATTATTTTCTTAGTAACTAAATTAAAATGGAAGTCTTGGGGCTGCTTTAAAGGGACTGACTATAAAGGTCAGTGTCCTAGAAACAAATGCTAAACTTCTATGAATATGTTGTATATCTACTAATTATTCATAATTAACCTTTAAGACATCAGCCCTCATGCACATTATTGGATTCATACATTTCTAAGGTAAGAACCTAACATAGGTCAGTACAATCAGTTTCTGTACCAAGTGAAAGGGAAAAGGTTACTGATTAATTATGGGCACTACAGTTTTCACTGTATGTCAAATAGTTCCTTTGGGAAGTGAGGTAAGTGCCTTACCATGTAACAGATGATTTCGGTTCCGAGAACAGAGAACAGATAGAAATTTCACCTCATCTGTCCCCCATTTCTTTTCTCCAGCCTCATACAGGTCCTGAAGCCAAACAAAGCCCAAGTTTAAAACACCAAAGAGAATGTGCCAGGACAAATGCAAATATTTCTAGAACTTCAGCAAACTGAGCTGGCTTAGTTTTATTTTGTTGGTGATGGGGATAGAAGTAGTAGTGGTGGTGAGTGGAATTGACTCAGAATTTTTCCTTAGGCATAAGACTAATGGAACCCTACAGTACCTCCCTGGGAATCAAGGAAAACACCAGCAATTCCTTATATGCAGACTACATAGTTCTATCTTAAGAGCTAAAAGGAATGCCCTAGACCTGGGCTGTCCCATACAGTTACCACTAACCGCATGTGGCTATTGAAATTTTCATTAATTAAAATTATTATTTATGGGCCAGCCCGGTGGCGCACTGCTACAGTGCGCCGCTTGGGAGTGCGGTGGCGCTCCCGCCGAGGGTTCGGATCCCACATACAGACTGGCCGCTCACTGGCTGAGTGAGGTGCGGGCACAACACCGAGGGTTGCGATCCCGTTGCCAGTCCTGGTCCGGTACGGGCACGACACTGAGGGTTGCGATCCATTGCCGGTCACGAAAAAAGACAAAAAGGAAAAAACAAAACAAAAATATAAATAAATAAAATTATTATTTATTTATTTTATTTTTTTCATGTCCGGCAACGGATCGCAACCCTCAGTGTCGTGCCCGTACCGGACCAGGACCGGCAACGGGATCGCAACCCTCGGTGTTGTGCCCGCACCTCACTCAGCCAGTGAGCGGCCAGTCTGTATGTGGGATCCGAACCCTCGGCGGGAGCGCCACCGCACTCCCAAGCGGCGCACTGTAGCAGTGCGCCACCGGGCCGGCCCCAGCTTTGCATTCTTTTTTGCTCTTTTCTAGCCTTTCTCTAAGCCTAGCTAGGGAATCCTT